TCTCTGCAGTTCCAGGCCAGGGGGTGTCCCAGGAGCAGCAACCGGGACCCTGGCCCAGTGCAAAGAGCGAGGGCTGCCCTTAAAGGTTTGGGGAGGGGGATCCAGTGAGTATTTAAAATCATTTAGTCTCTTTTAGATGTTACCCTACAACAGGGGTCTCCAAGCTTGGAGGCTTGAAGACTTGTGGACTTCAATTCCCAGAATTCTCCATTCCTGCTCCTTTCCTCCTGCTCCCTCGAGCGAGAGATTGCAGAGGAAGGGATTGCGGGAGAATAGGCAGGTCCCAAGGGGGGGGGGGATTCGCCTCAAAAAGAAGGCATTTGTTTCAGGGGATTCTGGGAATTGAAACCCATAAGGCTGCCAAGCTTGCAAAACCCCTGCCCTATAATTTTGAGCGTTTCCGTCTCAAGGTGATTAATACAGTCGGTAGGGGAATCTTGCCCAATAATCCCATTTATATGACTATATAATGCAACGCTACATCATTACAAAGGGATGCAGCTCCCGAGGCAATAAACTACACAAACAACAACAACTGCAAAGATCACGAGATCCCAATTGCCATTCCCAATCCCACGAATTCCCGTATCTTTCAGCTCCTATTTCTTCTAAACTGCCCGGAGTCACCGCAAGTGAGTTGGGTGGCCTTATAAATTTCCTTAAGAAAAGAAGAAATAACACACACACACACACACACACACACACACACACACAGACACAGACAAACACACACACAGACACACTCCCCCAAAAACAGGCTGCAGAGGGTGAGAAGGGATCCATGCAACTTCTTGGAAACACACGGTTCTAACGAAGGCCTGTTTCATAACCCCAAAAACTATTTGGCCATGGAGGGTGATGAAAGGGTGATGCAATTTAGAAGGAGGGCAGGTGAAGTGGGAAGCGGTTGGGGCAGGTGATGTGAGCCTAAAAAAAAAGGAAGTCCCAAAGGTGGTGTGTTTTTTTTTTCAAGAGGCAACTGGATCTTCTGGTTTTTCTCTGAAGACGTTTCTCTTCTCATCCAAGGAGCTTCTTCGGCTCCGACTAGGAAGATGGGGAATGGAAGGATTGATACTCCTTGCGGACAGCTGTGATTGGCCTTCTGTCTGTCTGCAAGGAGTATCAATCCTTCCCTTCCCCACCATCCTAGTCAGAGCCGAAGAAGCTTCTGGGATGAGAAGAGAAACATCTTCAAAGAGAAACCAGGAAGCCGAGTTGAAAATGCACCTTTGGGACAACCGGAGGATGGAGAATTTCCACAGTCATATACAGTTTAGTTCCTCCCTTCCCTTCCTTTCTTCCTTCCTCCCCCCCTGCCCCCTCCCTTCCTTCCCAAGGGAATGGGGGGCCCTTGAACCCTTCCTCCCTCCTCCTCCTCCTCTTTTCCCTCCTTCTACCTTTCATCCAACCTCCTCCACACGAATTCACATCACGTGTCGGAAAGTGAATAATCTGAGCCTGGACGTTTGTGCCTGGAGGGAGAACTCTGGATTCCGTG